TATTCTCTTTATTTTTTATATACTTAGTCAAAGTATTTTTAAATTAATTTGACATATTTTCATATTAATTTTTTTTATATATCTTAAAACCATAATCTCACACTAAGTTCATTTTAAAATTATTTTTTAAAATATTAGTTTTAAAATTTAAATCTAAACTTATACTCTCCAAAAACAATAATTAGTTATCTTTTTTTATACTAATATTTAGTATCCAAAAGTTATATTGAATTAAATTAACACGAAGTTGAGTTGAATCACCCTATAAAAGGGAGGTCTATCACTATTTATTTTTTCAATTACAAGATTTAAATTTAAAATTTGTTTATAAAAATCAAATTTCTTTCATTTAGGTAATACCAGGCTAGTAACATTTTTTCTTTTGTATTACTCTTTTAGTATCTAGTAATCGTATTAAATCTCGACAATTTAAAATTGAATCGCGTTAGACCCCATAAATAAAAAATTCTTCCAGTATATATTTTTCTATTCATTCAACTCAAAATTTTATTTAAAAAAAATTAAATTTTTTTCATTCAGATTAACAAGTTCGTACAAACCGGCAACCATTAGTTACATTTGATTCAACATTCGGATTCCTATTTCTTTTAATTATTATCACTATACATACACTGCATATATATTTTTTTGAAAATACTATGTATTGTATATTTAATTTTTTTAATAATTTCTTAATATTTGATAATCATATTGAATTTGACTAATCTTGTATTAGATTTATTAAAAAGAAACTCTCTCTATAATTATTATTTTATTTATAAAATTTAAATTTAATATTTTATTTAAAAAAAATTAAAGTCATTCCACTTGATTTAATAGATTGTTGGTGCGTAAGAAATTTTACGTAACAAGGGAAAAATTTGCAAAATTCAGGGTTTCAGTTTCAGGCCCAACCACTATCAGTGTACCTGTGACCCGTACAAATAACTGCAGTAACAGCCTTCGTCTTACCAAAACTACGTACCTACAACGCTACAACCACCCGCACAGGATCCCACCACCAAAAGTGGCAAAAAAAAAAAAAAAAGAAACGCCTCCTCGACTCCAGCGTAGGTATGAACCAAAGCCATACGCTGAGATACCTTGAATCGGAAAAGGTCACTACGCTCTCGGCGAGTTTCTTCCGAACTTTCCGGCGATTTCTTCCAAATCGGCGGGAAAACTCGTCTTACTCCGGCGAAGGTCAGTTCTTTGAATTACTTCAATTTTTTCTTTTTTAATTTTGTTATTTTCAGTCATTTCCTATTAATTCGATTTCCCCTCTTTTTAGGTTTTGTGTTTTTTCATGAATCCTTCGATCATATGCCTTGAATCTGCATTCAGGTCCTTTTCTTTTTTTTTTGAACTTTCTTTGAAAATTTCTCCACGGAAGAATTTTTATTTTCCGAGAAGACATGAATCTGAAAGATGATAGAAATAGAATTTAATTGGTTATATTTTCTGCATTTCTGTTTTCTTTGGCCTTAATGCTATGTCTATTACTCAAATGCCAATGCTCTTTAGTATATTTGAGTGATTCTGGGATTACTTTAGCAAGTTAGGAATTTTATGGGTTTTTCTTTACTTTTTGTTTTTCTTTCAGGGGGGAGGTGGTTAGTTTAAAATCGTGCTGGAAAATTTGAAGAGCGATGATAGTGTACTTAAAGGTTATCTAACAAGAATGCCAGGCATACCTCTAGTGACTCGAGAAACCTCCTCGTAAGTTCCCATTGAGAAAACACTACTCTTTTGTTTTGCTTGTTGTGGGAATGTCTTACAGCCTGTTTGGCCTAGCTCTTTATTTTGTAGAATTGGCTGATTTTGCCGAACTGCTGAATCATGAATTAATGTTAAATAATTATGAAAATTTTAGAAATTAATTAAATTTAGAAGCAAAAATATCTGCAGCATCAGCTTCAGCAACAAAGAAGCTCTTTTAGAAAAGTCAGAAGCATTTCTACCAATGACCTGTTGGTTCGAGTGGAAGGAGCTTGGTTCCCTTAAGCAAGGTCTCGAGTTTGAGTCTTGTGAATGGAGAAACAGGCGCTGGGAGATTTTCCCCCCTAATGGGGTCCGACCCCGCTTGATTCCGGATTAGTCGAGACCCAATATGGTTACCGGATACCGGGAGTTTAGTACCAGAAAAAAAGAAAAGTCAGAAGCATTTCTCAGAAAATTGTGTTTGTACAGCTTCAATTTCTGCTGCAAAGAGCTCTTTTAAGAGGCTGGGAGTCATATATATATATTTGCACCTGATAGTCGTTTTTGTTTCTGAAACAAGTGCTCCTGTTCTCTTGCAATACTTTTATCCTTACTCATTCTACCGATACTGTTTGAGGAACATTGTTTATAGATTTGAAAAATTTTTAATTTTATGTATCTTTAAAGCTGCTTCCAAGGATAATCTAGTTTGTGTGAAAATGTCATGTATTGCATTTTTTTTTTTTCTTTTCTTTCTAGTTTTTTACTTCTGGAATTTTCATGCTCATGTAAGTTACTAAATTTGAGTGCTTGTTTTCAATATAGCCATTCAAGAAGCACAGATCAGATGTGCCATGACGATTCCCATGTGCATTTATCAGCAGAAGAGGAAATTGCTGCGGAAGAGAGTCTATCAATTTACTGCAAGCCTGTAGAATTATATAACATTCTTCAGAGACGTGCTATACAAAATGTAGTGTATATGGTTTACATTCTTTCACATTTTGTTGCACTGCTTGCCTATTTCATGATTTGTTTTTCCATTTTTTTTTGCTTGGACTGGAATTGCAAATTGTTTCAAATTGGCCTGCAGGTGCAAAACATTTGTATTGTTTTTGTTAGAAGTGATTTCAAAAAATGCATTGGCTTTGAATGGTTAGCATGATATTATGCCAACCCTTCTCTTACTATCCATGTCTCAACATGCATTCTGTTGCACCCTTTCTTTTATTTGTGCTATATTCACTGGATGTTATTTTGCTGCAGCCTTCGTTCCTCCAAAGATGTCTGCATTACAAAATTCAAGCAAAGCACAAAATGAGGTAGTCTCTTGAGATGACATTCATATATTTCTAATTATTATCTTTTTGAGTGCTTTCTGTACAACTCTTGTCTCTCTACTATATCGGATTGATGGGAGATTTAGTGACTAGTAGACCTTCATTTTTGTGTTTGCTTGCTTATAAGATTTGAAGATGATGATGTGCTGACTTTCAGGAGAAAACCAGAAAAATATATCAATGTTATGGAATATGAATATGCATGAGGAGAAACTGCTGGCATAAAGAGATTTACAATACACTTTCATGATATTATTTTGCATGCTACAGTGGGTGGATACCATTTTGGTTCAAAATGTGCAAAAAAATTTGAGTGTGGTTGATTTGACCTGCCTGTATTTGCTTTTTTCTTGGATGGCTGAGTAAATTCATTATGTGGTGGCTGTAAATTGTTCTTCGTACCCTACTGAACCTAGCAATGGGCCTTTTTTTGTTAACAAACTAAACAGACTTTGTTTTATTTGTGTTCCATCTGAATCTATGATTGCTGAGATTCTGATGTCTTTGTCAGGATTAGCTGCTTTACTGTACTTTTTTCTGACTTTGGTTAAATTTTCAACATCCAGATAAGCTTAAGATATTTATTATGTTTCTTTTGTTTGATATGTAGAATACAAATGACAGTGTCTCTATCAGGGACTGTGAAGGAAGGTGTACAAGCTCCGTGTCTGTTTCCTTTGTATGTGTCATTGGCAAGACTTGTTTCTGATCCAGCAACTTTGGAGGTATGAAATGCAACTTTTTATTTACATTCTAAGCTAATATACCTTTCTTGAGAATTAGTCTGTGTTCTTAAAGGTTTTCTACCATTTATTGAACTTCATGTATAATTCTTCCCTTTTTTTTTTTTTTTTTTGAATCCCAAAATGAAGTATTCTGCAGTATACTGCTTTCGGCAAGCATGCATCCTAACTAGTTTCACTGGCATTGAGGGGAGTTCTCAAGCACAAGCAACCTTTCTGCTCCCTGAGATAAATAAGTTAGCAATGGAGGTCAAGTCCAGCTCACTTGCCATTATATTTATTAGCTTTGGTATGAACTCCAGTTTTACTTTGATTGATGTATAAAAGATTATGTTCTGTTATTGTTACATAATTTGAACTGCCAATTATTTTGTTGCAGCTGGAACCCAAAATTCTTTGTGTGGAGTTGATTCAACTAGGGATCCAACAGGTATGACATCATTTCTATTGTACATGTAGTTCTTTTTGCCTTTAATGGTTTGATACATGATTAGGATCTCATTGACTTTGTAGGAAAATTGGTAGTTATTTGCTTTTCTCATGGAAAAAATGACTTGAGTCCCAGTATATTTCTGAGATAGTGCAGACATTCTATCTAATTTAGATATATTAAGATGTTTACAAAAATTGTCAATTTAACATTGATGATGGTCTGGGAAATATGCATGTAATGAAATGATTGATTGGCTACTGTGCATAACTCTGCTCTATCTGGATTTCTATACATAGCTCTTTTGTTTGTTTCTACTTGCAAGATATGGAGGGCACTTTAATCTTAATTTTACTTTGAAATAAATCTAAATGAGCCTGTCATTGACTCAGGGGATGTTATAAACCTATTCTAAATAGCTATCTTTATTCAAGTAGTAGCATATATTTCTTGTATGTTTTCTTGTAAGTTTGTTCTCTAATTTACATGCAATTTTATATTACAGCAGATCCTGGAGGATACTGCCTTTGGGGGAACATACCACTGGAATGTCTTTGTATGTCATGGGAGAAATCGCCTAACCTAAGTTTGGGACACAAAGCTGAGGGCACATTTTCCATTGAGATGTGGTCTCGCTTCTTTAAGGTATGACATACATGTCACATGAACTTGGTTCCATTCATTTTCCTCTTTACTATGGTACTGCATAACTGCCTTGTTGGTTTTTGTTGTACTATGTTAATTCCTAAGGTTCATATTTTCTTAAATGTTTTTGTGTGTTTCTTGATTAGGCTGAATTTTATACCTCTTAGATGCCTAGTTGTTTTAATGTTCTTTTCACATTTAGAACTGTAGTACTGGCTGTCAACCTCTCCAATGTAGTACAATAGTTGGTTAGAACTTATAAAGACTATTAAGGTGCTGCTTGGCTTGCAAAATCATGGCTTTGAGTGTGTTTCGTGCTGATAATTAGTAATTAGTTTAGTTGTTTGGTCTATTAAACTGTTTTTCAGGAATTTGGCTGGTTTTTATTGGTTGCACTGTGTTTCTCTGAGTCACCTGTATGAGTAATGTTAATCAGAAGGCTGAGCAGCCCAGTGAAAGCAGAGCTGGACCCATTATTATGGTTCAGATTCCCATCCAAAAAAACTTTAATATTGTGTATGAACTTACTATTCTCAAAGTGGGAGAAATATGTTTAACTAGCTATCAATGGAACAATGCTCTTTTCTGCTCTAAATATCATTGATATTATTTTTTCTTTCCTTCTGCAGTTGAATTATTTGAATGAGGACAATTGCATTTCAATCCAAAGTTCCAGTAATTCTTTAACAATGGTTCGTTTATCCCTAAATGTTTTCAAGTTCATTCAGGAAATATTAGTCCTCCACCCTTCTCATTTCTGTTACACTTTTTATTTCTTTACTAGATAATTTTTATTAACGGTTGTCACTTTTTTTTTTTATTATTATTAAAACTATTTGGGTTTCCAAAGAACATATTACAGCAGGTGCAAGTCACAATTTCTGCAGAGGTGGTTGGCGCAAAAGAAAAATCTCTATATAATTTATACACACACAGTAACATCTCTTCTTCATCATTATCTCATATAATTCGGTAATCCTCATTGCAAATTCTATAATTAAATGTGGCTTGTTAGTCTTGTTTGTAAGTCATCAACATGTTATAGTTTAATGCTTTACCCTTTCATTTTACTGAAGATTTGATCATGTTACAGAAATGTGTATGCTTTGACTTCACAATCCCAGGCTATAAATGATTTTCTCTAATGTTCTCCCTTTTTTCAGTGTATAAAAATGAATATTGAAAAATTATTTATTCTTTTTTCTTTTTTCTACTATCCTTTTATCAGCTCAAGTGGAAGTTATTTTGTAACAATGGAAAGGCATTATGGACGGTATCTGTAGCTATAATCCCGTTGTGAATAATTGTGTTTTCCCAAAATGAAAGTGTGAATTATTATTGGATTTTTTTTTTTTTTTACAATATCTTCTTAGCAATAGATTGCATTCTAGAGCCATCTTCTCTCCTGTTATTTTAGGCAAGGAAACCTTTTCTGTGTTGAGGAACTTGGGTTGGGATCTTAGTTTTAAGTGTGTTTTTCCATAGGGTGGTAATGTTAGTAATTGTACTGCTAATGCTATTTATGAATTATGGGTATTTCTGTATATCAGAACAAGTTGATACCATTTTAGTTTTAAGACTTAGAAGATTCAAATTTAAAATTTAGTGAACTGATTAATAGGCCATGTTATCATGATTATAATACTATTTCAATATCTTCTCCTGGGAATACTTAATTTTCCTGTGATAATGCTTGTGTCTGTGTGCCTTGGTATGCTATGAATTTTTTTTAGGAATTGGCAAGAGGTTCATTCCAAATTCCCTAATGGGGTATATACAAATTTCTCCTGGGCATACCTGGGGTATACTGTGTGCATATTATAAAAACAAAAATTTCACAAGCTATGCTATTGATATTTCTTTCTGATTCAGTACGATGAGGCTTTTATATTCAGTATCTATTGTCTTGGTATGTTTCTGTTGATTTTGGAATTTTTTGTTCCCTTGTAAAGCTTTTTTTTTTTTTAATTTCTAGGTTGAGAGCAGGAAATGTGTTATTCAATTACAGATATTACAACAACAAATTGCAAAGGACTGAAGGTATGTTTTCATTCATTATGTTGTTTTTTCTAGAGGTGGGGTTGTTTGATTGCTTAGATACTGCTTATCCTTACAGAAAAGTGAGATAGTTGAATGGATTTGGGCTTTGCACTGATTGTTGTTATAGTTTACTAATTTGTTTTCAGAATTCTGTTTTTTCGTCCATCCTGCACTTCAAAACATCAGTTCAGGTGGGAAAAGACAAAAACACAATTAATGAATCTTCATGCATCCTTGTTCATTGAAGGGTTTTGGTCTTTTCCAATCCCAGACTGATGTTTAAGTGCAGCGCAGAGTGTAAAAAAACTTTTATGATTTCTTTGATTATGACATACTTTCAATTTTATAAAGTTTTATGGATTAACTACTAGAGTTAGGCTCAAATTCTTTCTTACAGCAGGATATACTTTAAGGAAGTGTGGATACTTTCTTTTAAAACTTTCCAGCTTCTCTCTGCTGAATGCAATTCATTTTTCTTTTCACTTGTTGACAATTCATGTGTGTTTATGAAAGTTTCCATGAGTTATCCTTTGTACCCTTGTTTGTGCCACAAACATGATGATTTACTTTAATTTGTAGTGACTGAAGACTTCTCTTGTCCATTCTGCTTGGTGAAATGTGCAAGCTTTAAGGTTGATCCTTACACTGATGTCTTTTCCTGTTGTTAAGTAAATGTGAAATAATCATATTTATATGTTAAGGGAATTGTGCTTCTCTCTATATTTGTTTTCGTTCTAACATTTCAATCATGCAGGGCCTGAGATATCACCTGCCTGCATCTCATGATCTCTTCAACTTTGAATTTTGGGTTGGTAAACTTCAGGAATCTGTGGTGAAATTGTGATACTTAGTTCTTGTATATCATAACTGCTGCTAAACAAATGCATGCTTTGCAGGTAACCGAAGAGCATCAAGCTGTTAATGTATCTGTCAAAACTGATATTCTGAGATCTGAGGTCAGGACATTCTTCCTGCATCAATTTCTGACAAGTCTTGTGGTGCTCTTGAGCAATAGGGTTCTTACTGTTTCTATTAACACTGTAAATACTAGGAGGTACTTGTTTAAATTGAAATGTTTCATCTTCACTGATGTTGGAATTCATATGTCAATGTACTCCATTCAGATTGTTGCAGATGGAATTGATCCTAAACAACAAACATTCTTTTTTTGGTCAGTCTTCTAACCATGTCTGTAGTGAAATTTGTAGCTTGTTTGTCTTGATATTCTCATATTGATTAATGCGAATGCTGGGAGCTGAAATTGGGAGCCTACATCTTTGTACAGCTCCAAACAACGACGACGTAGAAGAGCTAACCTAGTGCAAAATGCGAGACATGTACATCCGCTTGGTTCAGAGTCAAACCTTCCTGCAGTAGTCCATAAACTTTTGGACAAGGCTCATGGTATATATACTCGATTATCTATAATAATTAGCTATATACTTCTGGTCTTTTACTGTTTTCTACTGGGTTGTTTATGAAGCTGATTCTGCTCCACTCTTTTCCTCTGATCCACCAAATGCAAAATTTTATCATTTAATCATGAAGTTCTTGTTTCATTTGTTCATCCCATACTGATGGAAGAGAGCGAATCTCTCAGGTGGGAAAGATTCACTGAATGCTTGCATTGGTGCTGCAGACTGTGCTCCACTTGTTCCATCTGGTTTTATTGGTGCAGGGTCGACGAGTGCTGCTGGACAGTCACTTTCTGATGTTGAACGTGTACGATCAGTGCCTGGAAGTAATCTTGCACCTCCTGCCATGCTGCCATTTGCAAAGACAAGAAAGTTATCAATAGAACGTCCTGACCAGAGGAAGTATGCCATAGTTTTTTTTTTTTTTGGTTCTATTTATTTTATTATAAAGGACATTGCAAATAAAATGATGGTGTACTTGTTTTAACATGGAGACCATGTTGTCTATTTGTGTTCCTTCTGCTTGAGGAATTATCTAGTTGGTTACAGCAGTCCTTAGGATGGGATAGAAAGGCTAAAATTTTGTGATGGAGTAAGCTTGAGTATTGGCCTAGGATTGGTTAGCAAAGCAGATTTGTTTTGAGAAATGAACTCAATTTGCTTTAGTAGAGCATCAGCAACCTTGGTCTGGAGTAGTTCTCTCCTCATTCTCTCAGAAAAAGCAGTCTATGATTGCCTTTCTATGCCTAATTTAAAAACAGGCATAATGGTTCTGCTTTAAGGTTTTGATCTAGGAATGCTACAAAGCTGGTTTGGGATGGGCAAGCATTACTGTCCTCTCTTTCGCTTCAGTAGAGCATGCTTAACCCTGCTCCAGGTGTAAATCTTGAGGAAGGAGGGAGGGAGGACAAGAGGAATAACTTATTGAATATCTGATATTTCAAGTTGACTCGCTTACTCCTTTTTCCTTTTTTTTTTTTCGGCCAAAACAAATCAGCAAGTTGATTAGTTTACTGAAGGCATTGCCTTTTCCCCTCAATAGTTTGTAGCAATGTCTACTACCTAATTTTTGTATTTTGCCCTTTTCTACTTTCACTTTTTCACTGACCATACTAATTGAAATTCTTTGCAGCCGCACTCAACTTCAGAAGCGTATGTTTTTCCATTCGCATAGAGCACAGGTAGCTACATACTCCCCCCCCCAACCTCCCCCCTTTCTTTGTGGATTTCGTATTCCATATCCTTATAGGTTTTGCTCTTAGTCTTGGCATCAGTTGTCTTGTTGTCAATGCTGAAACTTGAAACTGATAGCCAGACATGTGGCCAAAGAATCATCAGTGCATCTATGTTTGGAACAACAATTGAGCCACTATCTCTCCTTTCTGAGTAATACTGCCTGATAAACTTAGTAGGTTTTTGGTTGGTTTTTAACAAGAACTATTTTAGCTGCTAGCTTGAGTTGACTATCAAACTGATTTGTGGTTTTTGACTAATAGCTATTTAATTTTCATCATATACTTTGAAACACCTAAAACTGCATGTATTTCCTTGAAGCCAATGGCAATTGAGCAAGTGATGTCTGATCGAGACAGTGAGGATGAAGTTGATGACGATGTTGCTGATTTTGAAGATCGAAGGGTATGTTTGATGATCTTGTGACCTAATTCCCGTTAATCTTATTCTATACATGAGTCAACTTTTGTTTGGAATGGGAAGCTTTCTGGATTAGTGGCTAGGCATTGAAGAGCTATTTGTAGGTGGTCTCTAGAAGCATCATCAGTAAGGCAAGCTGATATGATTTATCATGCATGAAAACTTGTAACACATTAGTCTTGATCAATCCTCCCACAGAAAAGCTAATGGTAACTTATCTGAAAAATATGTGGATTTTCTTCTCGGTTTTAAAAATGCTTTTACCAGATGACAAAGATGCTGGTTGATCTCATTGGACAACCTGGAGCCCGAAATATATATAGCAAATGAAATCAATCAACTTACAAATTGTAGAAAAATTAATCAATAAAGTTGGCTGTTGCTTGTATTTTTTCTCATGAAATGGAATGTGTCATTCTTTTTGTTTTATGTAATTTCATTAATGATTCATTAAATGTGTGTTTGATTATATGTTTGTATTTTTCTGGAATCTGGATGACTGAATAGCTGTATCAATGTTGATGATATTTGGGCTGTGTTGTAAAAGAAAGCATGTTGATCAAATGGCACCTTTGGTGCTGCTGGCTTTACTTTTCAAGACAGCATTGATGTAGTCTAGTGTGTTGCAGATGCTTGATGATTTTGTTGATGTGACCAGAGATGAGAAACAAATGATGCACTTATGGAACTCCTTCGTGAGAAAGCAGAGGTGATCTCAACTTTTCCTTATTCTTTCTGTTTTCTCCTTTTTGGTTGTTTATATAGCGTTTTTCTTGTCTTCATTGTTACTGCTGGTCAAAACCATAAAATTAATGCCACTATAGCGCACATAGTAAATGTGCTGTAAAGTTGCCTTAGGCTCATTTTACATTCAATATGCTAAGCAAGGCCTGGACTTTTAGCTTAGGTCAAAGACTATTCATTTTTTATCTGTCTGTTTGCGTTGATGTGCCTCATGTTCTCTTGGGCATTAGAGTTGTCTTCCTAGTATCTTGTTCGGGGTTTGTCTTCTCCTTTTTTTCTTCCAAGGAATATGTTAGTTCAACTTGGGTTTTATTTCGGGTTCTTGGTGATTTGTTGCTTGATATTGCATGAGATTTCTTACTTTGCTCATGCTTTTGTTATCATGTTATGTAGTATGGTGCGTTATTTTATTTTCTTCACTGTGGTTCATGTTTATCTATGATTTGTTTGTTGTTGACTGCTTGATTACTTTCTTGCAGTTCTTTGGGTTATTATATTTTTTTTGGATGGTCAATTCTATGATGTTTTTGTTTTAAATGATCTGTTTTTCATTGTTTCAGGGTGCTAGCGGATGGTCACATTCCATGGGCATGTGAATCATTTTCAAAATTGCATGGACCTGACCTTATCAAAGCCCCATCTCTTATACGGTACTTATCACTGCTTTCTTAGGTTTATTTGAATTGGGTTTAAATTCAAATCTTGCTCTCTGACATTTTCTCTGCTTTGTTAATTTCTATTTGACTAATTTTATATTCATTTTTTCATCTCGTTAAATTTTTTATGCACAAGCTTCCTAATTAAAGTTCATTGTTAGATATAGGTTAGATATCATGCTTTTAGATATGTTGGACGTTTTTTAGCTGTGGCTTGATTCTGAGATGTAAAATCTTTAAGATCATAAATCTGTTGTATTTTCGCACTTTGATAACATCCTTTATTTTTCCTCACCTTGTTTTTTTATGGTTGTTTTTGTAATGTAGTCATTGATATTCTCATCTAATTTTCCGATGTCTTGCGGCTCTTAGATTGAGGTAATGTTGATTGCGGAATAGGTATTCCTTGCGGAGGTAGGAAATAATGTTTCCTTAATCATTTCTTCGTACTCCCTCCATTCCTATTTGTACATATAACGAACTCTTCACATAACTTTAGCTAATGCTTTTACATGTAATATGAATGGAAATTGGAATTTTGTTTTTCCCAATATGTAGTACGTGTTGAACAATTTCATTTGATAAAAAAAAAAAAAAAAATTCAATTGTTATTCATATGCCATATAAAAGCATTACCTAAAGTTGAGTGTGTAAAAGTAAAAGTGGATAGATAAATAGGAATGGAGCGACTATAAATTTTAACTACTTAATACCTATTCCCAACTCTTCAAGGGAGTTTCCCAATTTTGCCTTCCAACCACATGAGCCCTGGGTTTCGCATAACTGTTTGTTTCTAGTCATGCGAGGGATTTACTTATTGTTCTACTGGATTTTCACAGCGTTACGCACCTTTTCTTCGCTGTCTAATGTTTGACTTGGTATTTTGCTATCATCTAACAGAAAATATTTTGTGGTACTTGTCCTTATTTTATTATCAGCATGGTGTGACTTAAGCATCATTAACATGAACAAAATTGTGGATTTGGCAGGTGTTGGAGACTATTTATGATCAAATTATGGAATCACGGTCTCCTTGATGCACGAACTATGAACGATTGTAATATTATTCTTGAGCAATATCAAAAGCAGGATTTGAACCCTACGAAAGGTTAAAGGGAGCTGATTTTGATGAAAGCCAGTGAGGTGTATTTTATCGCCTTCTCTCTTAGCTTTTGAAAGCAGTTGAACATTGATGGCTGGCGACCAGACTTCTCTCCATAATTCCCAGTGGTATTAAGGCTTTAGGGCACTTGTGAATCATTAACTGTATTGTTGGATCCTTGCCATCTGTTCAATCCTAATGTCGTATGTTGGACGATTTACTGGAATGGTACTCTCTTTTTCTTTTTCTTTTTCTTTTTTTTTTCTTCTTTATTTATTTATTTATTTGTTTTTGTTTAGACACCTTCAAAGGGCTCCATAGCACAAGACTGTCCAACTGTTGATAGAAAAACTCATGTAATGTTGTCTGTTGTGCCAATGCAATCTTAATATAACGCATCTAAGTTGACCCGTGATAACACTTGGATATTATATTGAATTAAAAGCTAGTTTTTCATCATGAGTTTTCTATCTTGTAATATAAACCATACTGAGGACGAGATAAGGATTATTGAAAGGAGGAGATAGTTCCTAAAATCAAGGACTTACTCAGATTTAATAATTTAAATTGTGCAATTAAGAGTAGTTTAAATTATGTAATATTTTTGTTCTTTAAGAACACAATTGAAATTGTTTTAAAAAGAACTTATAAAAAAAATCAGTATTTTATTTGTTTTAGTTTGATTTTTAAGGGTTATAATAAGTACTAGCTCAACTTCTAACTTTTACACCAATTTTGTCTTCTAATTTTTTCGATAGTTTTTTTAGTCTCTAATTAGTCTTGATCATCTAAGATAGTATTAAATCTCTTTGTTAGTATTTAAGAAGTTAATGTCCTAATTTATGTATGAAATCTATGCTAAAGTTAACTTGTCATGTCATTTTATAATTAACTTAAATACTTATCATGTCATTATATAATTAATTTCCATATTATTTTAATGTCAAATTTGAGGAATTATTTTAGTATCAAATTTGAAAGTTAAGGGATAAAATTAGTAGAAAAAGTTGGGGGACAAGTTTGTTGTAAAAGTTAAAGGTTGAAGAGCTAAAAGGTACTTTAAGCATTTTTCTCAGCGGTTGTTCAATAAAACCAGTTT